GTGGGGCTCAGAGCCTCGCCAAACTGAAATCACATAACAAATACTGCAGTCTTTTAAACTAGCCTAATCCTGTTTGGATATGGGGTCCACAAACAAAATGCAAGCACTGACTTGAAAAAAAAAAAAAAAAGAGCAACAACAACTACAAAAATCCATTAGCTTTAGTTTTTGTAGTTTTGCAGAATGTCCTCTAGGAAGAGGGAAGGCAACCCTTAAGAATGTAATTTAGTTTTAAAACTGAATTCACTGGAACAAACCTGGCTTATTTGGTATTTCTATTATTCTCAACTTTCCATTGATTTTATTTTTATTAGATTTTAATCAGGGATTCCATTGTGAAATGTTTTTAACCCAGCATGTAATTTAAGAAGTCAGATTTTCTAGTGGAAGAGAAAGGACTGCAGAGGCACAGAACTGAATAGGAAGAAAAAATAAAAAAAGGAAAGAAAGAATTTATAAGGCAATTAAATAAAAGGAGAAATGAGAAAGAATTTGAAGGAAGCACCTCCTGAGGATCAGAAAGTCCTGGAATCCAGTTACAGAGGAAGGGACCAACAGCTGGTTGGTCAGATTCCCGGATGGTGATGCTTCCGCTGCCATGGCAGCAAAGGCTGTCAACACTTAAAATGTGCGATGCTATTCCACTAGTGTCTGGCTTCAATTCAAGAACTTGGTTTCAGTCAACTATAAAGATAGCAGAAGACTGATTATCCTTGAAAAAAATTGAGAACAATCCTAAGCCAGCAATAGAGAGTTCAGAGAAATCATCAGACAGCATTTTGAACACTGTGCATGTATTATTTGGGAAATGGTACAGACTATGGTACAGACTACTGAATTTTAGGGAAGGCTTACTAAATCTTTTTAAAGAAGAAAACGTTATTGCTAACAAGCAAAATACTTTACCAGACTTCTGTAGTGGACAGAAATTCAGAGATACAGGCACTTCTTTAAAGAAGTCAGAGTGGATTGTTTTACCTACCTACCTACCTATAATTAATATTTGACAAAGGGAGCATGAAGAAAATCTAATTGGCAAATAGAGAAGAAGGGCACAAAAATGCAATCAAATAGAAAGAAACTAAGAACATTCTTTAAGAATCTTTTAAATTCCACTGAGAAACTAAAATAACCTCTTTCTATTAGAGGATTTATTAATATAAAATCCTTAAATCTATCCCCAGCTGTAGTGCCCTATATCACTCTTTCAATTAACTACTGAACCCTTTCAAATATTTTTGCTAAAATAATGAGTAACATATACTAATGTTGTATATTTGGGATGATTAAGTTGATGGAAGCAAAAAAACACAGTAATCAGGAACAGAACTAATGGGAAAAATCTGGGCAAAAGAGAAGAAAAAAGTAATATTTAAACTAATAATATGAAATCTCAAAGGCCTAAGACTTTTGTAAAGGAAAACCATTATTAGCACAGAAATTTCCATTGAAAATGTGAAGAGTATTCTTGAAATTGATTCTAATTTCTAAGTTAAAGAAATATTTTGATTTAGAAATAGAACATTATCTTTCTTAATAGAAAAAATTTAAACAAAGAAAGAAGTCAACTAAATTAATATAAAAATGTAAACTATAATATGTTACTGATTTTTTTTTAATTGAAATGTGTTAAGGTACTACTACAAATTTTTAGAAGAGAAAAAGACTCATAAGCAGGTTTCTTTTTGTTTAGTTTTTGGTTTCTTTCTGCTAAGAAGAAATTTACTTTTGTTTCTTAGGAGATTTTAAAGGTATTAAAAATGGGTTTAATATTTGCAATCTGACATGAGATAATTGCTTAAAGACGGTTGTCATCATCCTTCATCTCTAAAGAAAATTATTTTTTATAAGTGTGCATTGAATTAATTTGGCATTGCTTCTCATGATGCTTTTCAAATAAATTAACAGTGTACATTGACCAAGACAATGTCTGATTGCTTCTTCAAACATTTTAAAATTATTTCTGAGTAAACTGTTCATTATGTGAATAGTATAAAGCACTGGGTAAGGTGGGGGGACTCTGAAGGCATGCCATTTTATTTCTAATGCTGACTTCACTACTTACAGCTATAGAAATTTGAGAAAATTTCTTAATATCTACTAAATGTGAGAGTAACATTACTTACCTATTTATAAATGCAATGAAAAATAAATAGGATAATGAGTTTTAAGTGCTGAATGATTCATTCAATGCATATGAGCTATTTTGATGTTCTCCCCTAAGGTTTGCATACATGAACTCAGGTTTTAACTTACTCTTCAATATTTATTTGGTATCTAGTCATAGAAGTCGATCAGATTGTCTATTTGAACAAATTTTACCATTTGGAGACAAAGTTGTGTAGAAAAGACACAAGGTTTGGCTATATCTAAAGCAAGGATAATATTCCAACCTGCTGAACAGATTAATAAATTTCCCATAAGCTCAGTTTTCTTAAATGCAAGATAAAAATTTTAGAGTTTGGAGGTTAAATAAGCTAACATTGAAATGCAGCTAGCACTGTTTATAGGAAATAGTAAAAACTCAGTAAATGCTAATGTCCTCCTCCAATCTAGATAGGTAAATGGATATTGATATAAACATAGATAAGAAAGAAAGAAAAGAGGAAAAAAGAGGAGGAAGAAAGAAAGAGAGGAAGGAAAGAAGGAAGGAAGAAAGGAAGGAAGGGGAAAAAAAGTTGATATAGATGATGGACATCGAGATAGATAAGATGACAGACAGAGGTAAATGAGAGAGAAGAGGGATGAGAGAGGGGGCGAGGGAGAGAGACAAGAGACAGAGAGAGAAAGAGGAGAAGGAAAGAGAGATTTCTCATCTCTACTAGTTACATACAGTTTCTTGAAGGCACACTCCAAGTCAAATTTATTTTTGATGTTCCTAAAGAATCTATTCTCCTCATGTATTACAAGGATTTATAGATATTTATTAAATAAATGAATTAGTAAACAGTCAGCAAATCAATGAAATACTACTTTAGTTAATCCTCCAAAATAATGTTTTAAAGTAGAAGTTAATATCTCTCCTGTAATTCATTATTACAGATTATCTAAGTGTGGCTTTCAGATTCCTAATATCTTTCCCATATTTATTAATAAGGATGTGTGGAAACTACTCGTTTTAGAGGAGACATTTGCATTAGCATTCCCACTCTTACACTAGCAATTGTTTCATGTGTAACATTAACTAAAATATATGCAAAATGTACTTTCTTCTAAGAACAACAGCCACCTTCCTAAGGTATTATTTTCGAAATTGAAAAAAACAGACTTTCAGTATAAAGTACATCTTCAGACATGAATAAAACCCCTTCCTTTTTCTATAAGGATCCTTACCCCTTCCCATCAAATACATCACTCACGTGGTTAAAAAAATTTAAAGAGTTAATGTGAACAGCATATAAACTTTTTTTGGTTAACAAAGTTTCTCACGAAAATATAATAAATGCAAAACTCTTTACTTACTCTATGCGGCTTTACAAAAAGTAGCCAATGCATTATCCGTCAGTCACTTTATTACACACATAGATGAATCTATGTTAGGTTCTGTATTCACATATTAAGATCCAACAACCCATTATTTAAACTTTGTCTAAAAAATTAACATATTAAATATGACATAATTAAAACCCATCATGATCACTTAAGTCACTTCAAGTAAATATTCAAATTTGTAGGAATTATAAATATTCCATAAGCATTCAAATACCTTTTATTGAAAATAATTTAAAACATAATGTTGCATTATTAGACAAAAAGTTGCTATGGCATATTTGGCAGTTAAAACTTATCAAAAGAAGGCCTTTGGGAGGCCAACTTTTAAAAAAACAGCATAATTGTAGTACAGAAATTTAAATATATATTAAACTGAACATATGCATTTATGTCTGCATTGAATTTATATATGTGTGAATGTGTGTATTAAAATTTCAATATGATCTGAGAAATTAATAGACATGATATGTGTTGAAGTATGTATGATATGACAGACTGCACTACAGGCAAAATGTATTTTCTCTGAATTGTCAACCAATAAATATCTTAGAAGAATAAATGACTACATCAACACAGTTTAAAAGTAGTTTCTCATTAAAAAACTGAAATAATAAACATTAGAATATTTAAATACTATTAGTATTTTGAGAACTAGTATTAACAAATATAAATGCATTTGTAATTCTAAAATTGATTTATCCAGTCGTTCTTTTCCTTTTTTATAATGATAAGACATAAAAACCTATTCACAATCACAGGGTCTAAGTCTTACACAAAAGAGTTGCTCACTTTTCTTTGGGTGAATCATTAGCAAATATTTCTTTGTGTTTGAAATGATAAAAACATCAAAACTAATAAAACAAAAAAATTGAAGATAGACTTTCAGGAAAAAATATATGTATTTATTAAGAAGTGTTTCTTTATTATATCTCTATCAGGGCCCACAAGTACGTGTTTATTTGACATCCCTGCAGATTTAGATGTAAATCCAAAAAAGGAGCCAAAACTTTGGCTTCGCTGTAATTTGACTCTTGAATAACGACTTTGAGGCTAAAATTCAAGCTAAAAATAAACAAACCTTGCTAAGAGCTATAAATTTCCAATCAGGTTTTCATTTTACCTAAATGTGGTGAACTTACTAAATTTAATCTTGTAAACTAGTATATTAAGATGCGCATACCTAACTAATATATGCCTTATTTTCCTTGTTGATAAACACAAAATGGGAAAGGTTAGGAAATGCCCATAAAGATAAGAACAATCTAGCGACTTTGGTCAAGTTCTCATTTTAAGGAGATTACAGACTAATATCCATGGCCTTCCTTTTTCTGTTGTTACTGAGGAATTGAATAGCTGCTTTCTCTCTGGGACAAGATCTGGATTTGCTGTTTCTTTGGATTTATTATCAATGGTCCATTCCACCGTGATAAACTGCAACTCCGGTACTAATAGGTTTATAATGATTGCTTAAGCTTTACACTTTGTAAGCATTGGAAGGCTTCACTCACCTTGTTCAAGTGGTTGGCTTTTAGTTGAAGTAGTTTTCATCTTGAGTGCCTCCCTAACAGACATGTCACAGCAGGAGCCTTTGTTAGTGTCTTGGTCACTGTCAGCCTGATCACTGTCCCCGTGCCCACTGTCTCTCAGGCTGGCTCTTTCTGGGTCCTTAAACGTGGAGCTACTGAAATACATATAAAGAAAAAGAAGAGAAAGTGTTGTCTCTAGGAGTCTGAATCTGAAATGTAGTCTCTTGCAAAGCAATTTTGACACGAATGCAAATGGGGAAGCCGAGAAAGTTATTTAATGGGCCTTACCTTTGAACAAACTGCTGCCTGCTGCCCATGTAATTGGGCTCTGCGGGAAAATTGTCTGTCTGCGAAAGAGAAGGAAAAAAATACGTGTAGTCGTACACTGGACAAATCTCCTGCAGAGCAACAAGATTTCCTAGTGGAAAAATGATTAATAATTCAAAAATTCCCTTAATCTTCAGATTGGTACATTTTAATTAAATTGGAAATTGCTGACATGTAATTATGTCCTCAGAACAATTAAATGATTCCGGTCCACAAATTACCTGTTAAAGTAAACAATGAGCCTGTCATAACTGGCATTCTCTGTTACCACAAGGATGGATAACACAGTCTGTGTTGTTTCATTACTTAAATATTAAGATCGAACATTTGTGGGAGGAGTGGAAAAATGACCTAATTTCTCCACATTAAAAGTGTGAATTATTTAATAATACTCATTTTTAACACAATTACATCATCTGCTGGGATTCTATGCCCTCCTTGAAGTAATATCACTTAAAGTCATCCACTCCTCAATTAAGAGATACAGGGCGTTTACTTCAAATTTTGCCAATAACAATTACAAGCACGGCACATATTGCTGGACTCATCTCTATAATTCATTCTCATCTACATTCTTACTATGGCATTGAACTCAAAGCAGGCAGTGGAAATGGGTATTACTTCTGGTTATTAAAAACAAAGTAAAATGAAAACAAGAAATAAAATGTTACTTAAAATATTGAGAGTAAAAACATTGAGAAACCAGGCTTGTTTTTGTGGTTGTTTTACTGCTTCCAAACTGATGTGGAGGTCTGCCAAAAAGAACTGAATTCTCCTTGTATCACGGAACAGAGTCTTTTGGGAGAAAGATACTAGATCTTTCATAGATCTCCCTATACTGTACATTCATACACATCACTTCTTCTTGCAGCTGACTCAGCGACAAAGGTTCTCCTGTTTTCTGCATCACTTCATATCACACCATTGTGCTCTGAAGCAGCCACGGATTCATACAACATCACCTACCCTGCAAGTATCAGTGACACGGGAGCATGCAATTCATGAAGAAGAGGGCCCAAGGTAAGGCTTAATGTAGTACAATATGTATTTTCCTTATAAATAAAGCTCATTTAAACTAACAGGACTCTTTTTTCTTCCCATGTAATAATTTGATTTTGTGGCTTTCTTGAAATATTACTGCAAGGAAAAAAAAAAAGATATGTTAAGAGTAATAGCTTAAAGTACTATCTAAGTTTCACTGTTAAAAGTTTGGGGACAGGAAGTACCCTCATAAATGTCTTAATCTATATTCTTTGTCTGTTGTTGTTCAACTGACCTTTATCAAAGCGCAAAGATGAAGATAAATAAGGTCAATACATGTCTCACTTCTAATCCATTTTAACTAGTAGTTGGTAGCAGACATTTTTCATTAACATGTTTTACTAGTTTTTAGATTCTGTGAAGCACCTTCATTTTTCTTTTCATAATGGCAAACTACCAATTCTTAAGGATAATGATATTCTAGTAAATACAGTAGCGGCGGTGGGGGCTTGGGAGAACACCTGGGTGGCTCAGTCAGTTAAGTGCCACTTGATATCAGCTCAGGTCTTGATCTCAGGGTCATGAGTCAAGCCACATGTTGGGCTCCACGCTGAGCACAGAGCCTACTTTAAAAAAAATAAATTAAATTGAATTAAACTAAATTAAATAATAGTGGCAAAAAAAATACTGGGGCAAAATGTTTGCAAAAGATTTTTTCCAATTTTTAAAACTACAATTACTTAAAAACTCCACATTTTAACTTAATAAGATCTGCTGAATTGGTCAAAAACATGCGTGTAACCGATCATTGTTGTCAGTTGAAGACTAAGCCATGAATATCTTAGAATACTTCAGAAAAACAGAATCCTGGGTATTAAGGAGAGAGTAAAATGTAAAGTGAAAGTGGAAACTCTAGTTTTTATAAGTGCTATTGTAAGTAACCTTGTGACTTTAATGGCTTTAATTAGGTGGAGCATCACAGGCTATGGATCCCTATTCAGTTAGACATACGAAGACAGACTGGGAAATTTTCCTTCCTCTGTTCTAACAGGGACAGTATCTGAAGGTGTTTGCCTATTGCTAAAGTTCTAAACAGCTCTGATGAAATAGAGGACTTAAACTGAGAAATACAATACATTTCCCCACTGAATGAAGAGCTGTTTTTAAATTATGTGTGTGTGTGCATGTGCCCGTGTGTATGTGTGTTTGCATGAATGCATCCAGGTGCTTGATGAACACTGAGCAAGAGTATTGCCATCAAATGTTATTTTGATGAAAATAGAAACACAAGAGGAAGTCGTTAAAAAAGGGATTTTAGATGAAAAGAAAGATGAGAAAAATAAAGCAGGGAGAAAGGCAAAAGAAAAATAGAAAGGAGAAAGAGAGAAAAAGGTATATATATATATATATATATATATATATATATATATATATATATATATATACTGTGGAGGAATAAGGGTGAAGAGAGGTAAAAAGCAATTGAAAAAAAAAAAAAAGAAAGGTTGGTTTATTATTGTAGAACTTCACAAAGTACAACTTTTAAAAATTTGCACCTTAATCAGTAGCAGAATAGCAGAAGTTTACTAATAATGCCTGAATTTATCCAGTAAAATAGGTAGAAATGTGAGAGGTTCTGTGTGTTTATAATTATTATAATGAAATAGCCATTTGGCCTTTAACAAACATATAACTAACTCACTATAAAAACCACACTGGTTTTAATATAGAAAATAACATTTTCATTATCCAGGCTCCAAGGGTGTCAGAAAATTCATTTAAACTAATCTGAATATAAAATAAATGTATTTGCATAGAAAAATGAAAATAGACCCAAAACAAAAGCCATATGTACCACAGCATCATTTAATTTAGAAATAGATGGGTTTTAAGATATTTTCCAATAATGTACTCTAAAAATTTATTTCTAGCTTGCACACATCTATATCTTAACTTTTAAGTCTAGGAAGAAAGTAAAATTTGAGGTCAGACACTTGTGGCATTTTAGGTTTCAGCAGAGTAATTAAATATGAATATTTGTAATTCTTGAAAACTATCCTCTTCCATACAAACTAATCATACAAACTGATGTTTTCCCTTCAAACTCAATTTGAATGCAGTAACTTTTACTTTGAAAACATATAATTTTTTTTTTTTTTCAAAGTACCTGGAGTTGGTAGGTCATTACAGAAAAGTTCCAAAATAAACATGTTAAAAACTTAGGTGATTCTTTTTAGAAGAATAGATTCTTCTTAATCTATTTCAGTCAAGATAAAAGACAAAGGCTGCGGGAATTTTTAGTGACTACTCACTCATAACAAAACAGATCCAAAGTATCTTATCAAACTGAGTCCACCTTCCTAGTTTGACTTTTTTGTTTTATTGTTATTTTGTTTGCTGAACAGGAAAACTTAGATGCTCCTTACTTTCCTTTGTACTGAAAACATGAAGAAATAAGCAAGTAAGCACTTAAAGAGACACACAAAGTGGGTAAGTCCTGCATGATATGAAGGGTTTCTTTGATTATTTCCCTCCATGTATTTCTCCAAAAGTACTCAGCAGATTATAGTCAATTTATAAGTGATATTCAAAATCAGATTTTTTTGTCAGCAGTAATCAATAATAAACTATTCCTAAAGTACATCAGAATATATATTTATATATTCTAAAATTTGCTCATCCTATTATAACTCTAGAAAACAAATCATGATCTGAAAATATACATCCATGAGGAAGACCAAAAGGAAGCACCTACTGAAACTGAACCATATTGGCTGAAATTGGGTAAGTTCTTTATTTGTGGAAGTAGATTAATTTGATATGACCACTTACAAGTGGCTAAGAAAGTTGAGTTGAAAATGGATAGTAAAAGAAGACAAAATAGATTTTTGTATTATTAAAATAGTAAAAATAGAAATTTTAAAAATACATGAAGCATTTGACAAAAGTCAACACCTATCAATGGTAAAAATTCTCAGCAAAATCCGAGAAGGAAACTTCCTCAACTGTATAAAGAGCATCTACCAAAAAACGAAAAAAAAAAAAAAAAAAAAAAAAGTATAACTAACACCAAACTTACTAGTGAAAGACTAAAAGTTTTCACCTTTGCTTTCACCACTTTTATTCAACATTGTATGAAAAGACCCAGTAAGTTCAATAAGGCAAGAAAAAGAAATGAAGGATAAATTAAAAAGGAAGGGGAAAATTTTCAGTTATTGTATTCACAAATAATATTGTTTAGGCAGAAAATAAAAAGGAATCAAAACGAATCACAGGGGCGCCTGGGTGGCTCAGTGGGCTAAAGCTTCTGCCTTCGGCTCAGGTCATGATCCCAGGGTCCTGGGATCGAGCCCCACATCGGGCTCTCTGCTCAGCAGGGAGCCTGCTTCCCTTCTTCTCTCTCTGTCTACCTCTCTGCCTACTTGTGATCTCTGTCTGTCAAATAAATAAATAAAATCTTAAAACAAAACAAAACAAAACAAACAAACAAACAAAAAAAAAAACGAATCACAAACAAAATTTCTTAGAACCAATAAATAAGCTAAGGTTGCCATATTCAAGGTCATCACACAAAAATCAATATTTCTATATTCTAGCAATGAACTATAGAAAATCAAAATTTCAAAAGCAATACATTTATCATAGTTCCCTAAGATTCAAATGCTTAGCAAATAAATATTTTCAAATGATAAGTACAGAATCTATACCCTGAACATGACAAAAATTATGAAATGAATCAAAGGAGACCTAAATAGATGTAGAGATATATTGTGTCAGTGGAGTGGAAGACTCAACATGGTAAAGATGTTAATGGTCCTCAAACAATCTATACACCTAACATAATAATATTCATATTTACAGTATGATTTTATGTAAATATAGTTGAGATTCTAAAATTTTTAACAAGAAGCAACGTGACTATAAAAGGCAAAATAATTTTGAAGGAGAATAAAGTTGAAGGAATCACACTATTTTGAGACTTACTAAGAAGCCACACTAATCAAGACAGCGTAGTATTGTAGACAGAAAAGACACATAG